GCCGACGACACGCCTCGTGTCGTCGTACCCGCTCATCATGATTTGCGTTTACGCATCGTGTATGAGTATCACGATGCCCCAACAAGCGGCCATCGTGGTAGAGAAAAGACTTACCTCACGGTAAGTCGTGACTTTTACTGGCCACGCCAGTATCAGTTTGTACGCAAGTACATACGTGCTTGCGAGATTTGTCAACGGATGAAGCCTAGTCCTTCATCCCGTGCGCCATTGTAGCCTCTGCCTGTTCCGACAGAGTTCTTTCATTCCATTTAATGGACTTCGTCTTCGGGTTTCCCGAAGACGCTCACAAGAATAATAATATTCTTGTGTTTGTTGACCGGTTCAGTAAGATGGTCCATCTTTTTGCTGTACCCGAGTCGATCGAGGCTCCAGGTTGTGCTCGTGTCTTTCTCGACACGGTCTTTAGACTCCACCGGTTACCCCGTGAACTCGTATCCGACCGTGACCCTCGGTTCACGGCGGCATTTTGGCAAACCTTTTTCCGTTCTCTTGGAACACGATTGAAGATGTCTACTTCTGACCATCCCGAAACAGATGGTCAGACGGAACGTGCGAACCGTGTCCTCGAAGAGATCCTTCGAGGATATGTCCACTCGTTTCCGAGTTGGAGCGAATTCCTACCCATGGTGGAATTCGCCATCAATAATTCGGTGCATGCTTCCACACAGCACACACCGTTTTACGTGAATGGCTTACGCCATCCACGTGTGCCAACCCTTCTCGAGTGTGACTCTTGAATAAGGGGGGAGGGACTCGCTCGAGCAAAAACCGTTTTGGCTCTTGCTCATCACGTGTCGACGCTAATGTCGTCACGTATGATGCCGATGTCGATCAGGTCGACATCGATGAAGAAGATCACCTCAATAATAGCGATGACGCTGTTATTGACTCGGATGATGATGACGATGCTGGTATATTCAGCATCGTCAACGATTATGCCAGCGAGGAAGAAGACAATTTCGCTGAAGAAGATAGCAATCTCTTAGCAGTGCGCACGAAGCGCACTGAAAGACAAAACAAAGAGTCAGCAGAGAACTTCCTGCTGACTCGAGAAGCGGTGGTCCGTTTCGTTCAGGACTCCATCGCAAATGCGGTGGACCGCCAGAAACGGAACGGAGACAATAATGAAAGAGCAAATGTTCTGTCATTTAAGGTTAACGACCTAGTACTACTGTCTACGGTAAACTTACCTGGACATGCAGTCACTAGTGTCGGCAGTAGTAAACTACTGCCGATATACATTGGGCCATTTCGAGTGTTGTATCGCAAGGGCAATGCATACACACTCGAATTGCCACGTAAGATGCGCACGCATCCTACGTTTTACGTGGGGAGGCTCAGGCTGTACTGTCAGTACGAGCCTTCTTCTTCCGATGAAGATAGCCCCCACGTTCAAGAACATCCATCAAGTTCCTGCGTTCGCGCTCCAGACGATCCGTCTGGTCGCGCAGATATGATACCTCGGACCTAAACCAAGATATCTCCCCGCGAGCTGTCGCCAGCTCGCCAAAAAGAGAGCGGACATCCCGCTCGACCTGAAGCTGCGCTGTGGCATAATCGGCGCTATCCCTCGCCCGATCAGCCTCGTGATCCTTGCGGTTCTTTCGCACGGTATCCGTCAAAGAGTAGCGCCGGTCGCGATCGTGCTTCAAGTCACCGCGCAATTCATCGATTGCGTGATTCATCTCGTAAGGGTCAAGATGGTGAACCGAATCATCTGGAGGAGGTCTTTCCTCCTCCACCACATCCTTTGGTGGATGCTCACGGTGATCAACGCTTTCTGGTGAAGCGTATCTTGAATCACCGTGACGATTCAGGATCAAGGACGATCTACCTCGTCCAGTGGCGGGGGTATCCACCCTCTTGGAACAGCTGGGAGCCCCGCTCTCAGCTGTTGATGGATGTTGAAGGTCTCGTCCGCCAGTATGACGAGATCCATCCGATGAGTCCTGTGGCCCATCGGTAAACACGCGCCCTAGGCGCTTGTAGACGGATTGCAAGTTTGCACTCGCGTCACGCATCTCAGCCGAGATGTGTGCCCTTTCATAGGGCAAACTTAGGGAATACACGTCCCTCAGTGCACGCTGCAAGTTGTCAACACAACTCGCAGAAGGGTCTCCCCATGTGGTGCAAGGAATGTATGCCTCACTCGATAAACAGTGCAACCGGTACTTAGCACCGGTTGGTGTTCGCTTTTTAAACCTGAGGCGTGTCGCCTCAAGTTTCATGAGCCACCCTTCTCGTCCAAAATTCTTTACGTTTTGGACGAACGCGTTCCACGCAGCCAAAAGCGAGGCCTTGTCACGCTTTTGGTTGCTGTTGTACCATCGATGTCTAAGGAAGACATCGAGATAAAAGTTTTCCTCAGCGCTAAAGTTGCTCGCGCTGGGATTCAAGCCGTGAAGCTCAGTCGCATCGAATAAGGGTATTCGATGGTGTTGGCTTGTCTCGTGAGACAAGCTATTGATGAGCCGTTCAGGAAAACGCCACGGCTACAGCTCATCACGCTTCACAGTGGTATCCTTGTCGGTACCACGGTTGTCAGCACGACGATGGGTTGCACCATCGTCAAGTCGCTCGTGCGAAGGAGCACGAGCTGATTGCGGTGATGAGCAAACATACTCATCATCCGATTCGTCATCACTGCCGAACAGACTGTGCTCACGAGTCCGTTCGTTCGGCAGTGTCCTTGGCGAACACCGAGGCGTCGCCGGTGAGCGAGACGCCTCTGGCGCATTGCCCGAGTCAGACGTGTATGACTCGCCAGAATAGATGACCTCAATGTCGGGGTCATCATGCGCACGCGGTGAGGTGCCGCGTGCACCTGCAGCACCTGTTGCTGCAGGCGAAGAACGAGCAGCAGACGACGAATCGTCTGCCGCAGAAGCTGGCACAGGCACAGAATCTGTGTGCCTTGAGTCACCTCGCATAGACATGTTAACTATGCGAGGTCAAGCGGAAAGTGAATGGAACGGACCCAACAAGTGCTCCCTTTCCCAATGGTGGCCAACGGGTGGCCGCCATATTTTCGATAGTCACACGGTGACTATCAGTTAAGGGGGGGGGGTGTAACAGGGCAGCCCGTTACATGGAATTGTCACTTTAAGGAAAGTGACAATAAAGAATATGAAGTTGGATATTCTTTAAACAATATCACCAAAGTGGTGATATTGAAGGGTCGACCAAAGAGTCTGTTCATTGGTTGATATCTTGATGATATCAACCCACCAATCGCCGCAAGACGCGCGCAATGAGTGGTGACGAGACGTCACCATACACTCAGTTAGATTAGCATAATTAAGTTAAGTCAAACAGAGAGACAGTGGTTAAAAGACTTACTTATATTAATATAACAGTTCTGCTTTTACCTTACCTACGCTTCCTCGCTTGCCTTGTGTACGTCTGTCGGGACACCGATACCCTTGCGTTAAGTTCGCGCAAGGGTGTGCCCCGTTACACACGCGAATCATACAGTCAGATCCGGATATATATCGTCGGTTTTTCGCAAAATCTGGCACGCTAGGATGACCAGCTCGACATGAGAGACTTCATATAGTAGAAAAACGTTACATTTCATTATAATCGGGGGGTCCCGCTTAAAAAATATCATGCAACTTCTTCCTTTCAGATTCTCTACAAAAGATTTTTTACAAGACACGCTGTAAGAATTGGGCACGAAGTTGTCTCTTATAGATCGGGGTGAGTGTAGTACCTCTAAAGCTCACATTTAAACAATCTTGACTTGCAAGGGTAATATCGGTAATTATTACATAAGATAACATTCACGTTGGCCTGATTCGTGCCAATGACGTGTAACAGGCTCACCCCATTACACTCCACAAGCTCTAGACTCAGTGCATTATCAATCAAAAATCGACGCCCCTACTCGCTTTCCCAGCATGGGCTCAAGCTTTAACGACATCTGCCGCACATCTCCGGAAAACTTGCTCCATTGAGTCTATTTCCGACAGCTATCTTGGTGAGGTAGTACACGTCGTGCGTATCGAGGGGTGTGTGGCGGTGTCGTCTCGAGCCACTTTCCGCGTCCAGCTGGCATTGCGATGTTCCCAGTCTCGTCCTGTCTATATCTTAAGCGGTCTCCATGGTTGTTCCCTCTATATCATTCCTTTTTAGCGCTTCGGTCGTATCGACTATTCTCCCATCAACAGCTCGGTCATCAGCTCCGTGACAGGCCATACTGGCCACCGCGGTGATAAGATATTGTACCTAGTTGAGTGCTATGATCCTGAGTCCAATACAGCTGCCTTTGACCAGCTGATAGTGCACATCTAATCGGTCAGCTTGTAAAGCAAAGTGAGCCTCTTAGCCGACGTCGACCCAGTCTGAGTCTTCCAATTTTTCTTCGTGGACGTAGTCACTGACCTTTTCTAGACTTGGACCGCATCATCACTTGCAACTAGGTTCAGACATCTTGGCTGAGCCTCCCTTTATTTCATTGAGCTCAAATTCTAAACAAAAAAAGTGAATGACCTGTCGGAGGCGCTTGGAAATCTTTATGTCATCGGCGGGTAGTATCACGAATGCATGCATACACAAGGACGCTCTTCTAATCGTTCATTACCTCTTCTAAATAGGCTTGTTGGTTTCCTTCTAAGTTGTGATCGAAGTTCAGTTTTTTTTCATACTTTAAACAATCAAGGGTGGGTGCACTTGACCAGAAACATGTCTTGCAGTTACATTGCTGGCTTTGACTCACATGTTATTCTCAGCACGTCTGATCGAAACAAGTGGCTGTGTCCGAGTAGGCAATCGCTGCGTTATCGCAAGTGGATAGCTCCTATAATGGACAACCGGCAGTTTCCTCTCACTACATCTTCTGTTCTGTTTTGTGAGAGATTCCGTGACGCTATTGGTCTATGGACAAACAGTCTTCGAGATAGCTGTTGGTCATGCAGGTCAATGAAAAACGTCTTACACACGCATCCAGCATTTGCCTTTTTATGGCACTCAGCAGCGACTTACAAACGCGCGGACGCCTTCGGATCAAAGACAAACTTGCCGCTGTCAATGATCACGACGCCACGCTCTTTGACCACGGCCTGGAATAGCACGTCAGTGCTGCTCTCCTGCCACATCCGGGTCTGAATAGTCTCTCCAGGAAAGCACGGGCTTGAGAAGCGCACGTGAATGGACTTGAAACGCACCACGTCACCCTGACAGAATTGCTTGTACAACGAACGGCTGGCTACGCCCATGGAGCATAGACCATGCAAAATAGGCTGCTTGAAACCCACGCTTGCTGCAACGTCGGGGTCGACGTGCAGCGAGTTGTAGTCGCTGAAGTAAACAGTCATAGCACGCGCAACAGATCGTTAGCAAGCTGTCATCATCACCAGCAAGCGTTATCTCTCTCTCTCTTTCGACTGACTGCAGAGATAATCTGGCCCCATGCATGTCGCAAAAGAAACAATATTTGCGACTCACCCCGACAGACGATAGATCTGTGCCTGATTCGGCGACGTCTGAATCTCATCTTGAAAGTCGGGCTCGCGATCGGGAATCTGCACGCGTGCTAGGGACTTGCGTCCTTTGCCCGGGAAACCCGTAAGGCCTCGAATATAAGAGCCGCTAACGAGCTTCACCAATGGTCCATGGACATCTTCAAACAGCGTCTGCGTCTCAATAAGCGCGTTCTTCCCTTTGTTATAGCATGAAAGGAGCTTGCTCCGACCCGTCAGCGTGGCCCCCATGGAATCCAAAGGCCGTAGGATCTCCACCGACTGCTCAGCGTGCAGCATCATAACTGGATCAAAGCTATCGAGTGCGTCTTCTAGCAGAAATCCGAATGTCGGGGGCGGAAATGGCACTACGTCTTGAGACTCGCCTTTGAATAAAAGACACACCGGATAGAGCGGAAAAGCGGCAAACGAGTCGTGCAGCTCGTGCGTAAACTGCAGTGAGGACTCACCGATGCCAGCGGCATAGACCAGCAAGTCACGCTGGTTGTACCGCACTGTGTACGCCCTCTCGGGACTGCTCAGGAGCTTGTCCACGTCTACGGTCATGCTGGTTGGTGGCGTTTCTACCACACTGACACTAAAGCCTACTGATTTAGTGACAAGCTACGTGTCATCTGGGCTTTCACTGCGCGGTGATTGGTCGGCGATCTGATTTACGGCATAAGACATATGGTATACGCATGTATTGAGATTGCGGCCACTCCACCTCGACCAAGGACGGGTTCCAGCCCACCGCCTTATGATTGGTCAATAACGCTCGTCCTTTGTCGCGCAGAGCAGCCGCTCCCTCGATCGCCAGTCAACACACGAGGAGCTCCCGCGTCCAAAGACAAGTCCCACCGTCCCCCTCGTCGTCCCCCTCGCCGTCCGTGCCTCTCTGTTGATACATCGGCCGACCATGGGAAGCGCACCAAGCAAGTCGTCAGCGCGGCCGCCCAGTCATCCCTATCCTGTGCTGGCCACTAGTGCAGCTCCTGTACGTACTGTACAATCTAAATGTTACGATCACCGGATGTGTCGATTCTGACGCGACTATTCTGTCTACCAATATTGATGCTGGACTTGACCTGCCACCTGGAGCAGCAGCTACCAGTGCTGATGCAGCAGGTGGTGGATATTGAGAAGGAACGTACCAAGCTGCCGAACCCTGGACTCTACGAAAATGCGCCCAATGAGCTTAAGCCGCCTGTCAGTCCTGACGCGTTTGACGGCTTTCGCTTTGATTTTACGCGCATACTGGGCGCGCGGTGCTCGACATCGCACTCTTTTTTGATGGGTACACCCTTGATACCTGGCGGGCTATATCAATTTGGTGCTAACGTTGTCATGGGCGACCCCATGGATCCCTCGACGTTTCTCATGAGTAAGATCACACCGGACGGTTATCTTGACGCTCGATGGAATCACAAACTCTCGGAGAAGTGGAAAATGCGTGTCAAGTCGCAGCTCAAGAACGAAGAGAACGGCTCTCAAGCGCTTGCCGACTTTGACTATGTTGGCGAGGACTTTACATGGAACATGAAGGTCTCGAATGGCCCACTACTTGGCGTCAGCTACCTGCAAAGTGTCACGCAAAAACTCGCACTAGGTGGCGAAGCCTACTACCACGGCAAGCACCAGAAAGTGATCTCGGCCTATGCGGGTAAATGGATTGCGCGCGACTGGGTTGGTATGGCCACATATGGCGCCATGGGCACGCTGCAGCTTGCGTACTTACGCAAGGTCGGCCGCCGTCTTCGCTATGGCTCGGAGTTTGTGTACAATTACGCTTCGGGTGAGGCGCAGACGACCTGCGGTGTGGAGATGGACCTTGGTCAGACACGGTTTGTGTCTAGCGTGGACTCGACCTTGCGCGTAGCAACAAGCATCGAGTCTCGTGTGCTGCCCAATTTTGTGCTTTCGCTCTCAGCTGAGGGCTTTCCGCTCAAAGACGACTTCAAATTTGGCTACGGTGCACAGATTTCGTTTTAGATGTAAATGCGCAGTGCAGTTCGAGTTGGAAGATAGCAACTTTCTCCTCATGCCCTGGGTACTGCATAGTACAGAGGTGCAGTAGGTGGTGAATGACAGCGTCGCATGGATTATCTCAGTTCGCGGTGCCTGAAAAGTCAACGGGCCTTGCTACTTTACAATTACCGCATCACTGATGCTGGATACTCACCCTCATCGGATATTGTTGCAATGTACGTAACGTAAACGAGATCTCCTTACACGCAATGTCAACTCTTGCTACTTTACATCTAACGACGGCATTCACGGTCCACACTACATGTAGAACACCTCCAGGGAGACTCGAGAATGTGAAATGGTTTACCAACGTTCGACTTTAGCCGCATAAAATTACAACGTTATGCTGGGCTTCTGTGACGTAAAATGCTCAAATCCCTTGGCTTCATGTCGGCTTCTACCCAATGGAGCAAGTGCACGTCGTAGTAACCTATGTCACTGCTTGGAAAACCACCACAAACGCTGAAGAGTTTACCGCAATCGACGATAAAGCGGACAGCTCGACACTTGTAAACTAGCAACAGGTCGAAGCAACCTCATACAAATTATACGTAAGCGAAATCCGCAAATTACCAGCATGAAAGTCATGCGCCAATGAGCTGTTGCATAGCACTGTTAGAAGGGCCAGTCACCAGCAGGCTTGCTATTCGAGCTACGATATCCGTTGGCGGTGCCAGACGAGTACGAGCTACTGTTTTTCTGCGAAAACCCGCTGCCAGATGCACCTTCGACGTTTCTGATAATAGCAGCGTTAAGACAGCAGAATAGAGCACATCAGAACTTTCGTCCAGTGTCGAGGACACAAGTAAAAAATGCCCTACAGAGGCCCTTCCAGCACCGTGTGGAAGCCAAACAAGCGGGGAAGCGAGTAAGTAAGCAACTCCTGCAGGGCAGAACCGTCCATCAGAATCTCAGATCATACGCCGAAACAACAATATCACGCACTGCATCTAATCTACCTGGAAGACACGTGCTTCGCCGACGTTCAGCGTGGCAAGAGATTCGGTTTCGTGCTCAACCTTTATCTGGATCACAGAAGCACCATCAACACCCGCCACACGCGCAATGTGCAGTGACTTGGTTTTCTTTTCGTCCTCGGGCGCGTTCATGTTAGGCGAGTGCGTAAGCGACAGCTCCGGAATTCGCGAGTCCAGCAGCTCCAGCACCAATCCAACCTCAGACGGACTCAGTGAAAAAAACTGCGGCCGTGACATACGCCAGTCAGCTACAATATCTCTACACTTTTCCAGTAGCTTCATCCATATCATCTTACGGTCTTGTTTTGGTAGTTGTAACCCGACGTCGTAGCTTTCGCCCACGACAGCATGATGGCACCCTGTCCACAAAATGCAAAAACGGTCCGTAAATTCACTCCCCTTACAACTCGCGACGGCTCCTAAAGACTCAACGCAATGCATCGTTAACTCACCATACGCTTAGCCTTAAGGTAGCTGCCACCTTCAGTATACTGCGGAGCATTAGGCGCCACCTGAAAAACTGAGTCGCTACCATAGACCGAGAAGTTTGGAAATACGCGCTCCGTGGCTGTATCGCAGCGGCACAGAGCAACTTGAGACACAGAAGATGGGAAGGCGGGTGCGAAGTTGATAGTGATGGTACTACGTACAGTACAGCGCGGAGCTTAGAGCCACGCATCGTCCACGACCAATCGTCTTCCGGGCTGTCTGCATGAGCATCATTTTTAATTTTTTTGTGGTATCACAAACTTGTGTCGACAATCGCACTTAGTATGCAGGTCCTAATAAAGTGGAGCATGCATTTCCGTCTTTGTTCGTTGCGGTGGACTGACATAAAATTGCTAACAACTAGGGGTCAAAAGGTAATGATGTAATTGGCATGTCGTGCATCGTGTACAGTCGTCCCTCCAATTAAGATCCCGAATTGAGGGTAAATTCCTATTCGAGGAACTACGTGTGCCAAAACCAAGCTGCGTCACTTGATTTCGTATGGTGACTCGATACAAGAGACCAAAGAAACATAGTAACACAACAGCGAGCACCAATCACCAGTTTCCCCTCTCAATTGAACTTGCCACAGTCTTGCATTAGCTGCCATATTGCGCACTTGCTTCCGTTCCACCTCACATAAGTCGACAAAGCAAACGATTCTCATGACGGAGCGAAAACTTCAGGTGCACGTGCACATTACATGCACACCTGGCATTAAGTTGGCTCAAATGCAAGACTGGGTCAGAGAGAGGCTCGGCCTTCGGATCTTCACAATAGTAGCAGAACGAATTTGACAGGCATCAGACCACGCTCTCTTTTCCACGGGCAGGAAGCGCAGCCGAAAGGTGCTTTTTCTAGCGTTTAAAGCTGCGCTCCTCGCATACTATAGTTTCAACAACCGTAAAGCAATTATCACAGACGAGATACTACTAGAAGGAGGTCGCACCATCTGAGCTGCATAAGGGCTAAGCAAGAACGACCTGCGGCTTTCAAATGAGTGGCTTCGCTAATTTAAAACTTGATATGGCACCCAAGATCACAGGCTTTACGGCAAGACAGACTCAGTTGACCATGCTCAACTGGCAACATATCGAATGGATGTTATAAAGGTGATTGGTCAAAGTCCACCACGGGACATATCTTATATTGACAAATCGAATCTCTTCATCGCTTACATATAAGCAAGGCACTAGCAACAGTCAAGCGCAACGGAAAGAGGTTTGAAAAGGATCCTATCACAGTCGCAATGTGCTGCGGAGATACCGGCAACGAGAAGATGGATCTCGTTATCATAGGCATGTCATAGCACCCACGAGCATTTCATACATTCAACACCTATCAAATGAAGTTTGTCTATTTCACAACCATAACGCGTGATAAATAAGGTCAACATTTTCTGATTGGATCCGGCATTTTGATGCCAAGATACACAAGAGGCAAGTACTTCCTCTGACGTAAAACGCGTCGTGTCATTATGTCACCCCTGCAATCTACAATCTCATTTTGACCTTCCTCCCGCCAAGCATGATAGAACATTTGCAACTGCTTGACGAAAACAAGTTTGGATGGGTGGTCTCGTGACCAGCAATTTCTTACGTATTTGTTTTATGTAGAAATTATTCGGTTATTTAAAGCGCGGTCTCGAAAGAGGTTTATTCGATAGCTCCTGGATGCAATTTAAACTAGAATCGACGGAAAGTGGGATATTGAGGAGGCTATGAGCTTCGGTATATGAAGCAGGAGGAGCTTCCGATAAAATAATTTGTTACTACTAAAGCAATTGTGGTACCGTGGATGCGGTCCCATTGGTCAAGATTATTGAATTACTCGACTACAATAAACGCATTAATAAAACGTCAAAGGCCAGCTGACATAGCTCATAGAGGTTTTGACCAACGGCGTAAGTGTCGACATGTACATCAGTGCGGATAACGACGATTTGATCGCGTGCGATTCAGACACAATAGAGCGTGAGGAGGTTGAAAACGACAGATGTGTGTATAAGTGCCGATGAGGTGATAATTAGACCATTCGAGACTCCAGAATTTTGTCCCCATTTTTCATCCTTATTTTAAACAGCACTACAGGAAGAACTATTCAAGAAGCCGGCAAGTACTATCAATCACGTTACAAAGCAACGCTCGATGTGAAATACTCAGTGTACCATAAATTTATCAGAATGGGTTCATGTTGACACTATATTCAAGAGAGTTATATATTAGGAACGAGGTAAGCACGTTGCGCAGTTTTGTCCGATACCTGGACAGACTACTGTACTATGCAACTTAGTAAAGATCTCTGCAACACATTTGTAGGCAAATATGCACAGGTGCAATTATTGCTTTTGAACATGAAATGAATGGTTTATTGCGTTTATCTAGAGGTGGTTCCGTTTATACGGTCACTTGTATATATATATAGATAAGCCGTAGATCCCTAAAAAGAGGTATCTTAAATAACATATAGCCGGAAAATAGCAGTAGATTATACCAATACTACAAAACATTCGAAAATAACACAAAACAATACAGCAGATGGTTAAACACCAACCCGATGATGAGATAATGAGAAAAAGCACCAAGCCATGTACATTCTTATACAGGTAGACGAAATGAGCTCTTATATACACGTTCGTTGGATCATTATATATATGCTTCCACGTGCATCCTCTATACTGCCTCATATTTTCTTTTTTAAAAATCTTTACATATAGCTTGTCACCAGTATTCATGTACGCATAAAAAAAGGTGTAGACGCTTAATTGTTACAAAACAGTGACAGTCACAGAATAATTACACTACGGACCAAATTTCACCGGTAATATAGTTTGTCAGTGCACTGTCACCTAGCGTACACCATTATAGAGAAAAAGGTAGACTACCAAGACGGTACAGCTTAGTTGTGGTAAATAAGTAGAACTGCATTCAGTATAATCAAGTACTGAATCATTTTGTTGCCAAGCAGTCCTTTTCTAATTATATAAATGTAAAGAAATGTATTGTGACGTCTACTCATCACTCATTGCGCGAGTCAAGCAGCTATTGATGGCTAAAATTATATCATGTATCACAAATGAATAGACCCTTGAGTTCCCGCAAGAGAATCAGTGCAACTTAAAATTTTCTAATAGATAAGCAACGTAATATTCATTATCCTTTTTTGCTATGAATAATGATATCACGTATTAGGATGATACGCCTATTACAGCATAGCTTTACTGTATTGATTAGTATTAGACCATCAGGCTACGTTTTCATTCTCTTGTGCAGTTTACCTTACAACTTCTTTCATCAATTACTGTAATCTAATCTTCGTATCAATGTTTGTCTATCTTTTTCTTTTTATCGTAAAAATTTGATTAGATGGTACTGCCCAATTTCCAGATGGCGCGTATACAATGCTTTGTAATTTGTAGGACTAACGTCATCATCAGTAGATGGAGAGCCGTTTATAACGGCGCATTGACAATGCTTTGTAAGGTGTACGATCCGAAGAAGCATTGCATGACCGATTAATAACAACATTGAGAGAAGGCACGATATTGAGATGTGACGGAAGTACATTAACATTCATATGAGTATATAATCGGGTACTCGTTCACACAGAAGATGGGTTACATGCAAATTAAACACGCAAAGCTAATGGAGAGTTATAAATGTCATAAATAAATTGGTGCTGATGGTAGTAGTGATGTCAGTTGTGAGATGGGCATTGCGGTATGCATGCTTAAGGGCAAAATAAACTATTATATTTGCAGTAGAGGGATCAATGCACATAAGCGTAGCGCCTAGCTACTCGTCGTCTATATAGCAAATGATACCTAATATGTTTTCTTAGCGGTATGCTACACATTCTCAATTACTCTTTTTCACAAAATATCTTAAGAACGATACTCACAACGTGGATTTTACAAATGCTGCGGAAGAGGTGACGGCACGCCGACCTTTATCACATTTTACACCTTAGTACACAATGGCAACAAAAGGCTTATTTAGCATCTCCGAATCGTGGGAATACACGTTTGACAATTGCTTTAATCCTTACACAGATCTATATGCTGGATTGATATTTTCGAATGTTGATATTAAACATTAATCAAAGTAATGGACTTGTATCAGACGCATTCCAGACACGTTTTGGATCCCACCGAATCTCGTTAATGGCTTGTCAGAATACATCCAGAATATCACACCATATATATTTAATGTACTAAGTACAACACATGGGTTCTTGGACAACATTTTAACAATACTCAAGCGTAGGTCTCTGCAGTCGGTACAAGTGCAAATTGCACTTTCGACACTAAACTCTGACCACATGAGGCGGAAACCGCTTTAAGAATTTCTTTCGTAATGTCTTGTCTTCACTTTAGACTTAGAATAAGTGCTGCTCACTTTCTCTCCAGCCAATATCCTATTTGCATGCTTGGTGGGTTATACTTTATTTGCCATTTTTTGAGCTGTGTCCAATCTTGGCATCTCCCACTTGTCCTCGATTCTGTATACTTGTTCTCTCTTGCTTTTAATCACTTCAATACACTCACCACATCAAATAATCTTCACCTTTCATTGCATAACTTTATTGCTCCCTCCATGAGAACTCAAAGATACTGACTATGCACCTTGCGCTTTACGTAGATCTCCAACCCAACCACCGTCGAACCCTGTCCTATCACGACGCCATGGAAGTATTCGCTCCCGGCGAACATTCTGTGTAAATTGCAGCTGCTTTTTAATATATTTAGGCTCATAACCTTTTGTACCACCAGTTTCTATTCTTGATTTAAAATGTCAATTGTTACTGATTTTTGACTGTGCATTCATTATGTATCCTGTCCGCATACAGACTACAACTTCGCGCACCACTTTAACCACAACGGTCCATATAAGATAATCTATAAGAAATCAAACACCATTAACCAAGCTCGTTCTATTCCGTGTAAGCCACATCACTAATTTCCATCACGCTTTCTTAGCCGTGTTGTCATTACTATAAACCGAAGTGCATGTAAGCATTCGTAGGAAAATCAAGCGTACTCGTCAATGCATCGGCCGCCATCTTGCCCGATTGTACGTAACCCAGTATGAAAACTTCCATCTTCCCTGATGGCGTACATACATTTCCCACACGTAAATGAGCTTTGCCTTCGCATGTGAGCTTCGACTACCAGGTGCTTGATCGCAGTCTAATTTCTTCCGGCTATTCCATATCGGTTTGCATGGCCATTCTAG